CTAACACATGAGATCTTTTCTTCGATAACATAGTCACTCCTTTAGCCACATCAACCGTCCTTAGCGCATCCTTTTTCTTTAAGATAGTACAGATCGTAGATTTAGCCATGTCGTACTGCTTGGCGAGGTCAGAAACACGAACACCATTCTCATGTTTACTTATTATTTCCTTCTTCGTTTCAACTGCAGTACGCTTAGGCTTCGTTACACCACTGTCACTAACGCTTTTCATTTTCTTGAGAGCCATAATGAAGGTTAATTTAATGCAAAAAATATTTTATATATGCAGTGGTATTTGTACACGAACACCTCTAATCATGAACAACTCGGCTCATGAACACAATTTCCGAACAGATTTTGACCGGTGCGGTGGTCATCGTTCACGAGGGGCTTTTGTCCGCTTACCCCAAAGTCATGTTTGTGCGTTCGTGCGTCGACGCATTGTACGCAGGTCGAGTCAAAGTTTGTTCGGAAATTGTGTTCGTGGGTCGAGTTGTTCGTGACTAGAGGTGTTCGTGACTCGAGGTACACTGTAATTAAAAAAGTAAAATGCGACGTCACGGTGGCTACGGATAAGTCAGATTAGATCCTCAAATGTCTCCAAAATTCGAGCCCTTCTACAGTGTATTGTCGAACATGAATGACCACCTAGATCCCAAGATCTTCCTCGTCATGGAAACACCTCTCAGGTTCTACTGCAACACCGTACATTTACCGTGTATATAAAATGCATCAACCTAACTTTCCCTTCACACCTACTATTTCTACTTTGAACTGTTTTTCAGCGAGGTTTCGAAACGCAACTGGCCGATAAAAGATTTGGACCCTTAACTGGAAGGAACCCATATTACACCAAAACCTCCCACGAGATTTGCAAACAGCTGAAACAATTTAAACCCGCTGAAGGTAGCATTATGGTCAGTTACCACATTAAAGACCTATTTACTAACATATCCATTACCTTACTATTAAAATAATTGGCAAATTTCTTCGAAGAGATAACACACTTAAACAACGTATTAACCTCCCTGTTAACTCTGTCACAAAGCTAGTAACTAACAATAACTAACAGACGAATTATTTCTTTTTTGATGGTAGTTTCTTCAAGCAAACCAAAAGACAACCCATTGGAAGCTTTCTTTTTCCTGTCCTTGCCAACATTCTCATGGGATACCTTGAAAATGTGGCTCTAGACATAAATCAAGTTTTTCCAAAAGTTTTCAAACAATATTATGAAGGTGTTTTTGACATCTGTTCCAGTGGCAACGAAAATAAGTACTAGGCCTCCTCAATAGCCTAATATCTGAAAATATCAAGTTAACAATTGAAACAGAAAACAATTCTAATCTATCATTCCTTGATGCCTTAATAATTTACTCCAGTAACTGCTATATAAAAGATTTATTGTTAACCTACTGACACTGACAAATATCTAAACTTTGAATCGCATAATAATTTAAACAATAAACGATTTGTAGTCACAGCTTTAATAGACAGAGTCCCAAAACTACGCAACAATAAATTTCTTAGAGACAAAAAAAAGCATATCAAATTAACATTATGCAGTAACAGTAATTGTCGAGCTAAATTCGTTAATAACAGCATAAACTACAAAATAAAACACTTCGTGTTGGTGTGCCTCTACGCAATTCATCAACAAACTGTTTTTGTTGTATTATGATCTTTACTTGGCCGTATGCGCATTTTCTGTTTTCAAGCCTATTCAATCTGCTCTCACCTATGGTTGTGAACGATGGACATTGACTGGAAGGGTATGAGTGAGCATCAGGGTGGGTAGGTAGATGAGACATGGGGTAGATTGAGTGAAGACGAGGTTTATTCAAGGGGCCATTAAAGTGACGAAACTGAAGACGACTCGAGTGTATGAAAATTTGAAACCCAATTCAAAACCATTATGAAACACTTCTGTAGCTGATCCATTTTATTGCCAAACAAATAGCTCCTTTGCAAATCAATTGGAAAATACAATAATCTCATTTATGACTTGTACTCAATGCTGATTTTGTTCATACGGGCCACTGCGAGTGCATCAAACAGTATGGATTCAGCAAGTATCGCATGATCCGGCATGATCATCCTGGTATACCATGCCCTTGTACGGCAACAGTGATTTGCCACCTGCTTCTCAACCGATAGCAGTGATGCACATTTAGGTGGATTCGTTTTTCAATGGAATTAACTATTATAAAAAACGTCAGTTAGTGATTCGAACTCGCTGCCTATAGCGTATGAAACAGATTGCTTATCCATTGCACCAGTGCCACCCTTAATAAATTTTAAGCACAGAGTACATTCAAACTACAGAAATGCACAGATTGCATGGGCCATCAATTTGCCATATGATAATTCGGTAGAAGAGGTTTCTCTGTCCTAAATTGCTACAAGCCATAGATCTGAGCGCAGGACGGATTGGATGCTTGAAAATCCGCTATACGCTACTCAGGAGAGGAATTTTCTCACTGCAGAAGTAGTCCATAGAGAGGTATGATGTTGATTACTTGTGAATAGTTTGGATCGCATGCTTTCGGTCGATGTGGTAAAAGTTCATAGTTCATGCGGAGTTCATAGCCACGTTGTTCGTGGCGCATTTTAAATCAGCGTTTAACGCTGTGACGCCCATTTAAAATGGCTCAATTTTCAGCTCTGATTAAAATGTGCAAATGGTAAATAGAACAACTGAAAAAATGAACACCAGAATAAACAGAGCTTCCTTAAACGTCATCGGTGAGGAACAAGTCAATTAATTATTCACTTAGCTTATACGAGATTTAAACGCTGAATAAGTTTAATCACCATGGATTCATGGCCTGTTTAAGCAGCCCATAAATATCAATGAGCAAACTGAATGTCGTATTCCATGAAATTTCTCATTCACATGCTTACTTCCAATATAAGAATCTGCATTTGTGATGTTTTAGTGAAACTACGCAAGGAATACCGGCCAATAAGACTCACTGATGACGAGAGTGATATTTTCTTTCCCAACCAGTAGACGAATGCGGGACTCATCCACACACTGAAAGTTTTAAATATTAAGTCCTAAAAACGGGGGATGTATAAATGCTCCCTAAAGAATCTAAAACTCAAACGGACAGCGCCATGCTCCTCAATAAAGCCTGGCTGGTCGAGATCTACGTTCATTAACATGCGAACTGCTCGCATACCCATTTTTTTGACCGGATGCATAAGAACGCAAAAGTAACGGCTCTTGTAATATTATTTAGATGGTAAAGATATTGCTGTAGCTACGAAAAGAAAATTACGTACAATGATACTAAAATATTACAATGCAATATTACAATGCTGGCTGACCTGGTATTCGATTATTCTAAGAGCAAAATGATGAATTTGCCGTGAATCAGGTATATCTTCCTCAAGACCTCGGCTCACTGAATGAAAGCTAGTAATAAACCTGTAATGTCTAACCTTTTCAAGATAAACACCAAACGGTAGTAAACCAAAAACTGAACGTCTAATTTACATTGTCAGAATTTTTTAGAACATAAAATCTGGGATTGTATGTCCGAGTAGGTTCATAACTCCTCTGATACCAGATTAACCACGTATAGCGCATACTCAAAAGTTTTAGATGCCTGGTAGTGCCATTTCAAAAAGCCAGAGCTCCATCGCATTTAAGCACCCGCGCTGTTAAATGCATGTGGCATTAGCATATTTAATTCTGATCTTAAAAGACTTAGAACTGATTATCATACGTTAGCATTACCCACATTTTTATGTGCATGCGGGTCATATAAGAGGTACCATATCCCAAAAAAACGTCTTTTATGATTATGACATTGTTCTGGTAAAAAGGATGATACTTAATGCGCTTTGCGATGCAGGAACAAAGATACCATGGAATCGTGGCCTTCATAAATGTCCCCCTAGGAAAACTGAAACAAAGTGATGGCGTAATACGCCGCAGAAGCTGGTTTCGAATGAGTCTTGCGCAAGACGGCATGACGAGGTGACATTTTTCTCATGCTTATTAGAAAACCGTTTTAGAGTACCAAAATCTTAATGCAAATCAAACCTGC